CCTCTGTTATCTATTCTATTTGGCACTTTTCTTTGAAAGAAAAATCAAGCACACCAGAGGTGTCACTTCAATTCTCCTCATAAAAAAATCACATTTTACTAGAAGCAGGAAGTGGAGGGACTGTATGGCTTACAGTTGTACCTATGATGTATCTTAACTCTTTGCAGTATAAAGAAAACTCTACAGTTATTGATGTTTAGGTGTTCCTAAGATTTTAATAAAATTTATACATATTTTCTCTTCCATCATGGTAGTGATTCCCCTCATGTATCTCAGCAAAATTAATTTTAGTGTTAGTCTTCCAAGAAGTGAATCATCTGACAGAATTCTCCAAATAGACTATTTATCAAACACATAGATTGAAATACGGTTTCCAATCCAACAGATTTGAGAAGCAAAAACAAAACACCAAAACATGAATGACCCACATTGCAGACCAGCAGAAGTCTGAGGCTTTTCAAATACTTACATTTCAATGAAGAAGATGTCCTTAGGCTTTTCCAGTTCTGCTCTGGTGCCTACAACCCAGTTATTTTACAGACTACCATGGGAAGAGTTGCTTTTCCTTGTGCTTACTTCTTACATGACCTGGACATGGCATGGTGATAAGTGGCACAAAGCATAGACGGAGGCTAAGGACCAGCAGTGTACCCCAAGGGTCAAGATTCTGTCCAGTCCTGTTAAACATTTTCATCAATGATCTGGACTTGGAGCTTGGTGTCCATTCAGAAAGTTTGCTGATGATACACAACTGGGAGGAGTGGCTGATATACCAGAGAGATGCTGCTATCCAGAGGCATTCCAACAGACAGGATATGGTCTAAAAGGAATTTCTTTAAGTTCAACATGGAGAAATGTGAAGTCCTGAACATGGAAAGAAAAATCCTCACGCACCAGTATATTCTCAGGACCACCCAGCTTTCTGCAGAAAAGGACCTGTGTGTCCTGGTGAACACCAAATTGAAGATAAGCCACCACCATGTCCTTGCAGCAAAGAAACCGATGGTATCCTGGGCTGCAATAGGCAAAGTAATGCCAGCAGGATGAGAGAGGTGATCCTTCCCCTCTACTAAACACTAGAGAGGCCACACCTGGGGTTCTGGGTACAGTTCTGGGCTCCTTGGTACAAGAGACACATGGGTGTGCTGGAGAGAATCCTGAACAAAAGACCAGTAACCTAATGAAGCGACTGGAGCATCTCTCTTATGAGGAAAGGGTGAGAGCAGGGACTGTTCATCCTAAAGAAGAGAAGATACAGGAGGGATCGTATCATGTATACATATACCTGAAGAAAGGGTGCAAAGAGCACATAGTGGCAGGACCAGAGGCAGTGGGCACAAACTGAAACACAGGAGGTTCCCTCTGAATGTCAGAAAAAATTTTTTTACAGTGGCACTCAGTATCTCCTACAAAATTAGACCTATGAGGCAAAAAATTGATTGAAGAGAATGTTTCTCAAGTTTTCATTGCTGAAATATAGAACATCTTTGTCATCTTCTGTCACTCGATATATCAGCAAATTTATGAAATGGTATCAAATGATTTTTTTGACTATTAAAACAGCAAAATTACAGTTATATGCCTCAATCACTTCTTACCAACTATTATTCTAGAAATGTTTCTGGATTTACTGCACATTCTAGGAGGAGTAAAAGAAATCTTCTCCACTATGCTACATGTAAAATGGTTTGAAATCCTACTCTAACTGATGTAAATAACCCAAATCATAGAAGAAAACACTGTCATATGTCTGTCTGGCGTGATCTCAGCTTTTTGCTCAGAAAATGAATGGAAATTACATCAGAAGTTTGAAAAAGGCAACTTCTCTTCCACTTTCATCACCTTCCAGCCTGCACCAGTTCAAGCACCCAAGACCCCACTGAAAAACATTAGTAGGGGAAGGTAATCAGGAGATGGTTTGCTGCATATATCCTTGTTCTCAGAATTGGTTCATGTTTTATCAATGGCATAAGCATTACACTTTCTTGTCCCAAAGGCTGGGGAAAAGAAAAAAAATCTAACAAAGAAACCTCTAACTTACCTACATTCCTGGGGCACAAAGCTGAATTTTTGTGGTGACATCAGAGTGAATTTCAAAGATACACTGGTGAGGGAAGAAGGAAGGGTTGGGAGTAACAGCATGACTTTTGAAGATGGGAAGTTTCAAAAAGTAAAGAAATATTGATAAAGAGGGAAAACTGCAGGAGTTCTGTTTCAGGAAGGAGGCCATCTCAGACCAGGATATTGCAGAAAATAATAGGTGTCACAGGGCTCTGTACAGATTTAGGGGATGCCTCCATCTCTTGCTCTCTTACTACTCCCTAAATCCCTCCCCTAAGGTGTCCTCTCCTGAATTACAGGACTGTAACTTTAATTATTCCTCACCATCATTCCCTTTGTAGTCAGCTTCCTCCTCTGCTAGACTGATTCCATGAGCAACAGATAATTTGGCTTATGATTTCCCTATTTTTTACATTTTCTCAGTAAGTTATTCATTAACAATAGTTAACACAGGGTAATGAGCTTGACAAACTTCAATTGTGACCCAGCATGGCTCTTCTCATGCCAATAATATATTTATTAGAAAAACTTTGTAAAGTGGTGGTTTAAGCAAAGGGTTTTAGGAACTTATTGACAGAAATTGAATTTCAGAGCTATAGTAACCTGCTTAACAAAAATAGAGCATATCATAAAAACAGTGGAAACTATGGATGTCTATATAATAAACTACACACTACAAGCCATTTCCACCCTTGGATTTCCTGCCTTCTTACTTCAGAACTGATCCAGTGTTCACTGCTTTTAAAGACATCTACAGACTCTTGTGTAGTTGGAGGTAGGCCATTCCTATAATGCCACATTCCTACAGAACTAGTTGTAAAAATGAAATCATCTCTCCATAGATACACAGTCTTCTGTAACTCCCACCATTAAAGAACAGATTTGACACTAGTCGTTGTAAAATACATTCTAAAGAAGGTTCATGTTAACAAATCTTCAGAACTAATATTTACATTCTATTGAGGAAAAAGAAAATAATTCTGTGAAATGGATCAAATGACAGAAATCAAATTCTTGACCTTGTATTACTTTTACATAGGACATTTTTTTAAAGCTCTGATTCGGAGCTGTCAGTGTAGGGCTTCTGGAAAAGGCAAACAAACTGTTGCTTCTGTTTTCATTATTTCTGTCCCACTTCAGCCTGTAAAGTCATTTGATGCTGAGATCATTGCACAGTATGGTTTGTACAGAAAAAGCCCTCATTTCTGTAAGATAAATGTGCTGTTATATTTTCAAGCAGGGAAGAAACTATAAAATTTTTACATGTAAGTGGAAAAATGCTTATGTTGTTAGAGAAATCTAAGCCACATCCTTTTGTACTCTAACCATCTGCCCAATAACAGAGAAAAGTTGTCAGAAAAGTATTTTAACTCTGAGTGTGTCTGAAGTTTCAAAATAGGCTGGGGTTTTTTTCTCCTCTGGTGACCATATATATAAACAGAACATAGGAATTTTTATGGTTTAGGTTTCTCTTTCTGGGCAACAAAGAAAGAAACCTTTACTGTGTATCCCCATTTAGGCACAAGTTGGATTATAGGAATGCCACCTTTACAAAAAAATGCCACCCTGGAGCCCCAGGAACATCTAATAAAATTGAAGACAGCTCTGAGTGTATCTGAAATGCATTCACCTCATGATCTACTACTTTCTTTTTAGATGCAAGAAAAGCTTGATCATGTGGAGACAGATAATCAAAACTTTGATTTAATTTAGATTTGGATTCTGTTTGAGTCCATCTGTACTTAATGTAAATGTTAAAGAGTTCAGAAACAAGGATTAGAACTGGCAACCCTCATCTGGGCAAAGCTCCCCTGAAATCAGTGTAAATGTATTTCAATTAGGTTTCCAAGCTGGAACTTACTTGGAATTAAAGATCATAAACATCTGCTGTATATTCTTCAATATTTGGCTGTAAAATTTTCTCAAGAGACCATCTTAAATATGTAGTGCATGTCTTAATGAGAAGAGAGGAAAACTTGGTTTTGATTTGTTTTTATGATCACAAGAATACTGATGGCATAGACTAAAATGGAAAAATATAACATTATATTGCATAATTTAACCTCTTGTTGATATGGAGCAGAAGATACAAGAGGCCCTTGGCTGTAGTTACCACACTGTTATATTTTCATGACTTGTTTTCTAAGCCTGGTAGAACCCTGGAAAACAGATGGAAGGGGACCAACCATGGAGTCCTGTAAATTTCCAGGAAACTCTGATTATATAATTTATACTAGTCATTTCACTAATGATGCTGAAGACCAAAGTAATACAGAAGAACATTCTGAATAGATAAAGACAGAGCAGATGCTCAAAGGGAGGCAATAGCTTGTCAGAAGTGGAGTTAGTTATGGAAAATTGTGAGTAGCAACCACTGTGGTACTAAAGACTGCCCAACTTCATTGCTCCATGTCTGGAAGCTTTAAGAATTAGCTCCAGCACAGAGTCTGCTATTTTGGAAATGTTAAGTTGTGATTTAGAAAGTGGAAACCACTGAGATTCCCACTTGGAGAACATCTACCCTCTGAGGTAAGGAGGATAGAGAGAGAGAGCACTGGTCCTCTGACCAGTTTTGGGTACGTAGCTTTGGGTACAGCACGGTAGCTCAGCTGTGATACTGTGGTATTGTGGCTTGATTTCTTTTCAGAAATAATGTTTTGAAACTGTTGGTCTTGTGTTTTGATTGATCTTCTATCAGTTCCTGCCCTGCACTTTTTAGTGGGCACTTCCAAAGGCAGCTTTGGGGCCAGTGGATTAAGTCCTGCAGTGCCTGGAAAGAAAGAGGATTCTCCAGAGCAAGCACTGGATTCTACCATACTCACTCTCTAGAGAAGTCTTACTTTCCCCATGGGCTATTCAGGAGACTTCAGGGACATTTGTCTCATTAATAGTCCACAGTGGCCTTTATGAGAGTTTCCCCTGTGTGTTTCCAGAAATCTCTCCTGCTTTTGTAAGTTAACCAGAAACCGTGGGATAGAATCACTCTTGCTCTAAGCCAGCAGAGTTTTTTTCCAGAGAGAAATTCAATCTCATCACTTCTATTTAGTTGAAATCTGGATTAAGTTTTATTTATTTGTTTTCATTGTCATGCCGTTTAATTATCTGTAATCTTACAAAACACACTTTGAGTGTTTTCCTTTCCAAAAGAAAGAGGGAGTGTGACTTTTTCAGAAACATCCAAGTCACTTAGAAGTTGAAGTCTTACTGAAAATTAGTAGATGGCTTCTGAAGTACAAAATAATAATCCATTGCCTGGTAGTTAACAGGAGCATCAAGCACTCACAGTCTTTACATTCAAAAGGCAGAATGATGTCAGTCACCACATCACTGAACCTATCCCTGAGCAAGTAATATATTCAGGATTGGGTCTGATATTTTAATTACAGATCATATCAATTTATTAAAGCCTTATGCTGACTTCTTTGAAAGGGCAGGGAGAATTGGTAACATGGAAAAACTGGAATACAGTAATCCAGTTTGTTGTGCCTGCCACCTACTTTTACAGCCAACCTCGTTATATGTTTTTGGCAACCTAGTTATACCATTTCACTTACATTTGATGCTCCTTAACATAAACAGTAAATGACTTCAGCATTTCCTGGAAATGCAGCAGTGGTGAGCACGGATAGTTCCTCAGTTGCAGCACATGGCACAGGACGATGAGTACTGGTGGGAGTGTCTCCACAGCCTTCCACAGACTTTGTGTTTCACCCATAACAAGAGCGTACATTTGGAAAAACCTTTCCATGACTACCTGGGGGTCACATGAAACAGCAGAAATTAAAAGCAAGACATGAAAAGCATGCTATCGCTCGGTGTTGTGGTGGCCTGGGAAGTCTCCTCCACTCTCCCGATGGGGAATTCACCTGAAAGAAAGCAGGATGCTGAATTAGACTGTGTACCCAGAATGGAAAACCTGAAAGAGAGGTTGAAACAGCATAGCATCATTTGGGTTTTTTGAAAGGAAGTAACAGGAATCAATGTATATTTTCCTTCCATGAACTCAAGTACGAATGCTTTTTGCAATCTCTATTGGGAAACAACCCTAAATTAGTGAGCCTTTTAATTTGAACATTTAGAGAGGCATCAGGGTTTTGCAGATCCTGCTGCCTTGCCCCCAGAAATATGCCTTTTTCTTGGAAGCAAATGGGCAACCACAGGCATACTAACCTTGACTTTTATTTATGGGCTGCTTACAGTGATTTAACAACAACTTTGTTTCACTTATTTCTGGATTCCAAATTGAAATAATAATTTCTTCTTCCCAGGGAAGTAATTCTTATTCTTATTCTGCTTGTACAGCTACAAGTAAGGAAAAAAATTAAAAGCACATAAGCCCCAGTGTTACACTTTAAAATATGTTACAAACCAGCTTTGCCATTGCAACACCAATGGTCATTTTTCGCATTGTCAGTAGGTTTTGAAAGCTAACAAACTGTCCCTAAGTTTCAGGAGAAAACTTAATGGTACATAAATGAAAATAAGAAAAAAAAAATTCTGCAGATCTTTCATGTACCACCAGCTGATTGTCATGCTTAGAAGGTAATGGAAGACATGGAAAATCCGAAATTGCAATTGCCATTTACTGCATGTTATTTGGCTGAGTGAGTTGTAAATGGTTCCAGAATTGGTTTCACCTACAATTAATGTCAAAGGCTTTCAGTTCTTATTTTAACATCTTAAAATTAGGAAATTTATCAAAGATCTAGATTTTTTTTGACATTCCTGATGCAGATAGTTCAAGGATGTCTTTACAATGCTATTTATTTTCAATGCTTTGTGTAGGAAAAAAGAAAAAGTAAAACAAATGTCTGTAAAGTGAAATAAATTCCTTTATTCCCCCAACGCTACTTCTGTAAAATAGAGCTCTGTATAAAATACCTATTCTTTAATGTGGCATTATTGCTGTAGTAATCTCCTGTTTGTATTTGTTGATCACAAAAACACAAACGGCAAATATGTTATTTTTTAAAATTTACCATGACATCTAGAGTGCAAACTGAATGGAGTTCAGAAAAGGTTTACTATAAAAGTTAATAAGCTAATCATATGTAAGTTAATAATATACATAGGCATTAATTTGAGTTGCACTTGCAGATTAACTGTCTGCCTTGAGGAAAAATTAGCTTATCTTCCGTGCCATACAGCTAAAAACAAGCACTATAAAAATATCTTTTCTTGCAAGCATAAATTCAATATATCTACATTTCAGTACATCTGAAACTATCTTTTGTATCTCAACAACTCCTCTGCAAAAGACTTCTGAGTTTTTACCCTGCTTGACATACAAAAACAAGACATATAATTGTTGAGAGGCACTGAGTGTCTACCTGTCAGTCTATCCTGCTAATAACTTTTGAAGCTTTTACAGAACCACAGAATAGTCTCCATGGGAAGGATCTCTGGAGGTCATCTGGTCCAGTCCCCCATGCTTAAGCAGGGCTGCCTAGAGATGATGGTACAGGACTATGTACAGATGGGTTTTCAGTACCTCTAAGGATGGAGAGTCCATCACTTTTCTGGGCAACCTGTGCTAGTGCTCCCTCACTTTTAGAGTGTAAAAGCAGTTCCTTATCTTCAGAGGGAGCCTCCGTGTGTTTCAGTTTGTGCCCATGTTAGCTCACTTTAGTCACACATGAAAGGGGAGAGGTCTGCAGGGTTCTCGAGGTGTTGTGAAAGTTACCAGCCAGGAGATGGGACAGCTCTGCTGAGGGCTGCCACCAGGTGAACATAAACCAGTGTAATCATATTAGATGGCCTAGCAGGATGTGCATAGGTGGCTGCTCACATTCTCTCTTGGTTCCTGATGCGTAGAAGTACCTTCACAGGCATCATGAAAAAACGAGCTGATGTTAAGAGAGGGAGGCTTAGAAGTCCCAGGATATTAACCTGTAAGAAAGAGAATTTCTTCCACTCCAGTGACCTAAGAAAAAAATCGCTTTCTGTGGGCAACTAAGTCTGCTCCTTGCAGCAGCTGAATATTGCAAATAAAATCTATGTTCTCAGTGGCCTTGGAGGACTGAATCCTATAGGACAAAAGGTATCTTCATCTATCAGCCAACCCAGTCTTATCAAAATCTATAGGCATGCATTTATGAATATAAATTTTGCTAGGACAAGATTGATTTCCTTCAGTGGAAGGCAAGCTTGTAATATAAACATCTTTATTCTTCACCAGAGTGGAAAGTCTCTTGATTTCTTTTTGTCTCAACAACTCACATGGAAACAATAATTTTTTCAACAACTGCTGTAAATGTAACGGGGTCAGGATCCTTCAGATAATCATGCAGTGGACAGCCTTCCAAGTCCTGAGAAAGCAGGCAGGCATTGAGTCTTGGGAATTTGTGTTCTCGGGTTTGATTTGTGCAGGAGTTCACACAGAGGCAATTTTTACAACTGAGTTGAAGGGAAATTTATTTTTGTTAAAGTTATATCTCAATGCAGCCTTACTCCCTTTGAACTAGACAATGATAATGTGCTAAGGTTGTTTATATGATCTCTGATCATCTCATTTCAGGGCTTGTATAACCTGAAAAAGCTACATGACCTGAGCTCCAATATCACTGATTATTACTTAGTAGAAACCATCCAGCAAGATGTTTGCAATAGCTAAGCAGAGAGACAAGGATAGTCTCAGAGTACAAATTTGTCTCAAAAGTAAATAAGTACCTGTAGGTACAAGCTGTTTCACTTGTACCTTTCAGTACTATTGAAGTTTGGATAGAATTGATAGATGGACCATAATCTGTATTCTGTTCCATTTATTATTCAGGCTTCACACTGCAGCATTTGAATACTTTCCATATGCACAGAGAACAGGATGATTACAAGATGTCAGATGAAGTTTTTACCTTCTATCATCCTCTCCCTGGATACTGGCACTCAGGTTGCACAAGCAGGCTGAGATTGCCCCTTTACTTATTTGGCCAAAATACTGCCTTGCTTTCTTGCTTAGTGATTAGAGCAGAAGGTGAGTACGTGAGAGTCTTAGGTTTGTGCCTCTGTCTCAATGAATATTTACTTATTCGGGAAAGACATTAAGAGGAAAAAACTGGAAATTACCACTTAATAGTTTCCCATCATTAGATGGGTGGCATAGTTATCTATCCTGTGGATAAAAATGGAGAAAATTTGAATTTGAATCTGATTGTCTCCAATTCAGTCTCCTATTGCCATGATACTGTCTATTTGGGGCTACTTTTCTATTTTTTAATGAAAAAAATAAAAGAAGTGAAAACTCTTGGGCTTGTCACAGTGAAGAGTGGGAATACTTTTTTTAAAATCCCAGATTCTCAGGAGACATGAAATCCCTACCTGAGGCCATTAATATGACAAACAGAATATCACTCCATTTTTTAATCTCTTAATCATTCAGTCCAGCTTTTTGTGGAGATAACTCAGTGCTAACATGCATTGATGGACTTTTCAGATGCTTCACTTGGAACATGTAATGCAAAAAAAAAAAAATTAAATCATCAATGATTATACTTTCCATTGAGGACGGTTTACAGTTATGTGCAGTGGAAAAGTCCAGAGCTCAGAAAGATCCAAGAGTTCATTAAAAATACTGCTCTTTTGTGACACAATCAGAATTAAAGAACCTATTAAATAAAAAGTGTATGTATTTACTTGTCCATTGGTTCATTCTGTCTTTGGACAACAAAGCTTTCAAGACCAGGCATCTGATGATCTCCATGGGAGCCACTGAGGAACACAGGCCAACAGTGACAGTCAGTCCTCCACTAATGGCATCTCCATGCAGGTTTAGTGGAGACATTCAGTCTATGATGAGCACATTCTAGGGAAATACAGGCCTAGAACTGTCTACTGGCTCATTATTAATACATTGGAATAGTCTGGACCTGTGATCTCTTTACTGAATCTTCACCCCACCCTTTCTTTCTTCTACCTGTGTGCATGGCAGGAGGCGTCCTGAACTTTCCATATACACAGGAGCAGTCATGAGTCTCACATCAGCCTCCTCTTGTTGCCTGGGCCCCAGAGTCCTTGCCCACGAGGAAAGTACCCTTTGACAGGACAGAGCCTGCAGGCAAAACCAGCTTTTGTGTGCCCAGCATGCAAATGCCACCTCCCCAAACTGATCAGATGCAATTTCATCTGGTAGTGTTTACTGTGTGTGGCTCAATAACAAAACAAAAATTCAAGACACAGCCAGGGGAAAAAAAAAAAAAAGTGGAGTACATTAGATTTCTTTTCATTATTCTTTCTTTTTTCCCCTGTTACTTATGGTCGTTAAGCAAAAGGCTAGCAGAGCTAAGTTCTAAGTAAAAATACGTAGCAGGACAGGTCCAGGGAACAATACATCTGAAGGAAAGGGACTTCCAGAAACAAACTCAGGGTGATTTTTTGTGAGGCCTGGAAGCAGATAATCTCTGCTGAGTAAAGGTAGCCATTCAGCTCAGCTAAGTCGACTACACTGCCGGAGGAGAAAACCCAGGGAATCGTTGTATTATCATTACTGGGGAGCTACCAGATGCTTAGGATTCCATGTATTTGGGGGATAAATCTTTCAAAAGCTCCATTGACACTGGGGTATGTCAATAATTCCACGTATTAGTTGGATGCAAATACTGCACAATAAGGTAGGGAAAGAAAACTGTAATTGGGAATACCAGGGCGAAGGGGGCTCTATCTTCTGACTGAGCCCATTGTTGAACTCCAGGCTGAACCTCCGACCCTTTACTTTGGAGGAACACAATAGGCTTTGATATGAGATGGTGGGAAACGGGCTTGGAGGCTCATTTCACATTCAGCTGCAATTCATCAGCTTGGCTGGGACTTCTAGCAGCTTTAATGACCGCTGCAATTGATGGTTAAATCAATTTGTGACGGTGACAGCATGGCTGGCCCTTAGACTGTAACAATTTGGGATTACAACAGGCAGAAAGGGCCCCGTTATTCAGACATGCGTGGTTTCTGCTCAGCTCAGAGTGGGAACAACAGCAGGACAAAGTCTCACAAAAACGAGACCTGGAGAATGCACACATTCACTCCAGTTGACTACACACCACCATGGTTTCTTTGGTACATTAGATTTCTTTTCATTATTCTTTCTTTTTTCCCCTGTTACTTATGGTCGTTAAGCAAAAGGCTAGCAGAGCTAAGTTCTAAGTAAAAATACGTAGCAAGACAGGTCCAGGGAACAATACATCTGAAGGAAAGGGACTTCCAGAAACAAACTCAGGGTGATTTTTTGTGAGGCCTGGAAGCAGATAATCTCTGCTGAGTAAAGGTAGCCATTCAGCTCAGCTAAGTCGACTACACTGCCGGAGGAGAAAACCCAGGGAATCGTTGTATTATCATTACTGGGGAGCTACCAGATGCTTAGGATTCCATGTATTTGGGGGATAAATCTTTCAAAAGCTCCATTGACACTGGGGTATGTCAATAATTCCACGTATTAGTTGGATGCAAATACTGCACAATAAGGTAGGGAAAGAAAACTGTAATTGGGAATACCAGGGCGAAGGGGGCTCTATCTTCTGACTGAGCCCATTGTTGAACTCCAGGCTGAACCTCCGACCCTTTACTTTGGAGGAACACAATAGGCTTTGATATGAGATGGTGGGAAACGGGCTTGGAGGCTCATTTCACATTCAGCTGCAATTCATCAGCTTGGCTGGGACTTCTAGCAGCTTTAATGACCGCTGCAATTGATGGTTAAATCAATTTGTGACGGTGACAGCATGGCTGGCCCTTAGACTGTAACAATTTGGGATTACAACAGGCAGAAAGGGCCCCGTTATTCAGACATGCGTGGTTTCTGCTCAGCTCAGAGTGGGAACAACAGCAGGACAAAGTCTCACAAAAATGAGACCTGGAGAATGCACACATTCACTCCAGTTGACTACACACCACCATGGTTTCTTTGTAGTGTGATGAGGCGGATTTGAGGGGAAAAAAAAAAAAAAAAGCATTGTTACAAATAAAAATATACAGTAAAACACAAAAGACCCTGATATCTAACTATATCCTTAGGGATAGTGGCAGCCCAAAAAGAATTTCAGCTTTGTTCCTCTGGAGACGAAGTGGGTGGTCTGTCTCCCCTCCATCCTCGACCCCAAAATGTCTTGCCGCTTGCCCCCACAGTAAAGCCCAGCCGTGTCTGGATTACAGTCGAGCGGGTTTGCATTTGGCGAGAGGGGCATGGGCAGGGGGGATGGGCACCAAGTGTATCTCTGACACTGAGAAGGAAGAATTGCTCCCTCTTCTGTCACTGAAGGATAAATGCATTTGGAACATGCTACAATTTGTTTTTCATGTTTACATGATTATAATTACCTCTTACGCCAAAGAGGTATCACAGGGAAAGAAGATGACCAGTGGTGGCCTTGCACTTGAAAATTTCTTTACAGAAGATTCGGTGGTTTTGGACGAGGATCGGCAAGTCCAGTGGTTGCCTGACAACAAGACAAAAACACACCTTCAAATCAGCTCTTCCTTCCCCTGCATTTTGCTGGTGTAACATGATATTTGCATCCAAAAGATAAGGTGATGTTAGAAGCAGAGTGGAAAAATGTGTGATTGTGATTCTGCTTTTCAGCATAACATTTTACATAAATTAGAAATTATCAGATGTATATATCTGTGTGTATATATATGTATATATATCCATATGTGTATATGTCAGTTGAGTCAATGAAAAGCTATGTTCTTTATGTCATGTTAATTGAAATAATTTATTCAGCCTGAATAGAACAGTTATAAAATTAATATATACTCTTGTGTATTTAACTAAGCATAGATTCATTTAAAAAATCAATATGATATGTATTCAGAGAATCAAAATACTTACAAATTTATCTGAGGAAGCTGTTAATATGAGGAGTGCAAATTATGCCAATCAGTAACTTGCAAATTATATAGTAATTAATTACATGTCTCTCTCTCTTTGTGGTTAGGAAGCTATTCGTGTGCTAAAGAAATGTGTTGAAAATAAACACTAAAAAAAATGAAAACGTGAGACACAGTCCACTGACCTGTTACATAAATCCCTTCATTCACGTTCTGATTTGAAGTCTACAATTAATAACCAATTCTGGCATCATCCTTACAAAATGTCATGGTCTAAATATTGCAAAAGAAAGAGCTATCTAGATCCTTGAAGTATGTGAGTCAGTTAGTTGATGTTAATACCTGAAAATTTGCATTCTGAAATAAAGTACCACATCTTGAAAACATAAACAGATTTTTTGCTCTAAAAGATCTGTCCAAATATTGAAAAAATATTATTGCTAACAGTGGAAAGGTCTGGCACTAGGTCCAAATCCTGACAGGGAGGAGGGGCGAGGGGGGAAATCACTTGGTTTCTATGGTAACAGTGCTGGTAGAAATAGTTGTGTGAGCATACAGAACATGCATAAAAGCCTTCCCAAGGGAGGTCAGAGGATTTGAAGAAAAAAAAAGAAAAAAAAAGAAAAGATGGCAGCCACTGCAGAAAACAGAGAGACATTTTATGCTGAATAAGTACTTCACATTTGCGATGTGATCAATAACAAAATATTGTTGCTAAGAGAATATTCAAAAATGTTTAATATCTACCCATTTGTAGTTCAAGCATGTTTTCGTGCATGCTTGTTACTATATCAGACAGATGACACATGCAAATTTGCTTCTGCACACATGTACGCAGAAATCCATATGTGAATAAATAATATATCATCCTTCACAATGGAAACATAATGTGAGACTATAAAAGATTCTTTGGAATATGCATTATCATATATAATGCACCTCATATGGACAACTTTTCTATATCAGATATATTAAATACATCTGTATCCATTTAAAGTATAAAATATAATATCAGTCTAAAATATCCAACATACTTATTGTTCTTGGGAAAAATCAGCATCAAAATTAACTCATAAGGAGAAGCAAGAAGTACCGAGCATTATTTTTGGGTGGGAATTTAGTTTTGGTAATTAAAACATTTTAATAAAATTTAATTTTATCAGTGATGATCAAGAAGACATACAAGTTCTGCCATTCAGCCAGCTTAGAAAACAAGTGATCACAGTTCATTGTTTTGAACTGAAAATGTTTACCAGCCCTTTATTTACATCTGCTTCAATCCTTTCCAATTATTGTTGGTTGCTGTAAACTCACTCCATAGGGGATGGATTGGCACAGAGTGAAAATGTGACGGAGGCTCCCATGCAAAAGATGAGCTGTTGCTGTGAGTGAAATCCTGGAACCATTAAGCTGGGGAACAGGAGAGAATTCTCAGTTACACTTGAAGGTTTCGTTTTTGCAAGCATGAAGGCAAAATATTTTTGTCAGTGCATGGCATGAAAAAATGTATTTTTCTCTCATGAATTTTTTTTGGTGGGACACAATGCACCAGAATTTCCAAAGCTTGCTGGATTGCTTTCTGAGCTATGGTGAGGGAGGATTTTCATACAGAAAAGATGGCTACTGAAAGCAAGGAAGATCTATACCCATTGCTGTGTGTTTGCAATTCAAAATCAGCAGCACATTATGTAAGACCAACACTTGCAGACACAGAAGTGGAGCACAGGTCTTCCTTCCTCTCTCTGCTCTCTTCACACCTCCTTCCCTGTGACTGTACCTCCTCCCATGAAAACCAGCATCAAAGGGGTCCCAGCTTTCTCCTGCACCAGCTACAGGGCCATTGCCATCTTCTTTTCTTCCCTACAATGGAAACTGCTACTCTTCACTCGCGGTGTGTAGGCTGTGGCATGGACATAGAGCCAGCAAGGGCCTTGACCTAGGGGCCTCCCAAGAAATCTTGGAAGTATGACAAAAGCTGCACTTCAGACACTGGGCTCAACCAGTCCAATGTTGGGTAGAGGCAAGGCACTGCTCTGTAAGACAGTGGCTTTTGTGAAAGGTGTATGTGCACTAGGGAAATGTAATGCTACCAGATTCTTAGCTCATTTGAAAAACCAGAACACTGGCCACACTGCCCCTTTTCAAAATCAGAGGCAGCACTAATATAGCACTAATATTGGTTTCAGAGTGAAAGCACATTTTAAGGAAGGTATTTCTCTACCTCCCTTGCAGGATTCTTTATGTGCTTATTTTATTCCTGCTCTCATCTAGTAGTCTCCCTCTCCTGAGAACTGATAGGATTAAAACATGTCCCCTGACTTTCTCACATAACCTCCAGCTCTTTCCAGAAGCTCTAGTGGGGCTCACTTCATTTGCAATGTTCTACAGAATTTGGGTAGCTTGATATCCTAATGGATAATTCACTTCCCATCTGAAACTGGACAGCCACCTGTCCAACCTTTTTTTTCTTGCACCCTGCAATGACTTAGACCCCAGCTGCTGAATCTTAACACATATTCACAAACACATATCATGCTCCTCCCTTCACTGCTCAGCAAACTTCTCTTTTGTCATGTCTTTCATGAATACTTTAGTTTGCAGAGATCCATGGATCTTTATATCAAAACTCCTGTCCTCATTCTGCATAGTAGCTTGCCCTCTTGATTGAATTTGTAATGTAACAACTCTACTTCCCTACTCAGCAAGTTACATGAGGAAGAAGGTTTCCATCTAGCTGAAAGTATTTAATGGTACAATTGCACCAATTTATTCTGCTCATGGTATGTCCCTACTGACATGACCATTTGTCAGTATTTTTTAATCTCTTAAGGATAACTTTAGCAGGAATTACTAGTTTAGAGGCCAGGTCTTGGCAACATGGAGGCAACATTAATGTACTTTTGTATTGATGAAGAGATATTAATGACTTTAGTATAAATGATGGCCAAACAATGGCCAAATGATGGCCAAAGACAATGGCTACAGAGTAATCAAAGAAGTGACAGCTGTATGAAAGCGAGATATAGAAGGCATTCTTAATTCAGTTTCTTGCCCAGGCAAGAAAAATTTGGAATTTTATCCATGGAATATCTCACTTAAACCTAGTTCAGAAATCACTACACTGCACTAGCAAATTCTGCGATTGTGGATTAAATGCACCTTAAATCAGTGAGTAAATATTTTTAACAGAGAATATCTTTCAATGTGTGCATAAATTATAAAGGGAAAACAGCTGTCTGAATTAGTTATATTTGGCTGGTTGGCTGATTGGTTGGTTGGTTGGTTGGTTGGTTGGTTGGTTGGTTGGTTTTACCAGCCTTATAAACTATAACTCCAAACTTCACTCACTGTTGTACAAACCTTAATCAAACAATTTGTCTTCTCAGAATCAGTGAGGCATCATTGGTCTTTGTTGGAAGAAAAGATCAAATTATATTTTAAAAACGTATAAATACAAAAATCAGAAGTAACACATGGCATGTCATGTTTTTATACATGTTTTATTATGTGTTTTTGTGGGAGTTTTTTTTGGGGGGTTGCCTTATTTCTCTAAAGAGTGACTGACACGGAGAATATTTAATAGTTTCAATATTTACAACACTCTGGTCACTGTCTGCAATTTGCTAGACATACACTTTTGTCTTCACTCTTTTGCAGAAATTCCTAGCATTATCTGTTGTGGTCCCTTTATAGTCTTAAATGTCCATCCCCTCCCTTTGGAAAATTTAACAGATAACTGTGGTGTCTTCATACATGTCCACCTGACTGTCCTCTGTGCACCAAGCAAAGCTGACCACCGAGACACTTCACCTGGTGAACATGCTCTTCCTTTCATCAGAATGGCTGCAACTGTGGAATAAGCTCAAAGCCAGGTATTAGGACAGTAGTGACTGCCTGAGTTTGGTTACAGCAAACTCAAATGCTTGCATGTAACAGGCTTAGTACATAAAACAATGTTTCTTGTCAGACTCACAAGATCACCTGAAAACATGTCCTCAACTACTGAATAATCCTGTTTGTAGGTATATGGTATCCCAAGAAGCAAATATACTGGCCAGGTGGATTTTATAGAATCCATAGTGAGAGTCTGGGTTTATGGCAGATGGCCCACAGAATTACTTATACCAGCTGCCAGTAAAGGGCCCATATTGCAGTTGGGACCAAATAGTCTTTAAAACTTGTATGAAAGAAAAGCTTCACTCTGTCTTCATTAGACTTTACAATATCAAGGAGAGTGTACTAGTGAAAATGCAATAGTTGAAAAAGATCCAGGTCCAGAAAATTACTTTCTTGCTACACAGAATCAATAAGAACATAAAACCACCAGTGGTTTAGATAGGCTTAGGTCATTGTGTACTCTTAATGAAACAAAAGCCTATGAGGATTGAACCTTGGAATAAAAATACTCAAGTCCCTTCAATGGTATAACACCTTTGCATAGTATTTGTTGACCCTTTCTGGTGATGGCACCATAATCTTGGATATTAATGAATCATGATCTTGGATATTACTATGCTTCAACACTATCTATCTCGTGTCACAAGAGCAATGTATCAGAGGTTTTCTTGCCCTTTCTTACTGGTTTGTCTGCTCAAATAGACATGTAAAAGATATAAGCATACATTACTCAAGAGCTGAGACCACAAACCAAAAATGCTGAAGACTGTAGAAATCATATGAACACAATATATTAATTTCAACCTGAGTAATTTACTGAAAAATTATCCATTCACTCATGTCAAACCTGTTCAAAATACTAACATAACAAGCATCATATCTTACCTACGTGAGTTGAAATCATTGCATAAACTTCCAAAGAGCAAGTCAATATGAATGTAAAGGGAAAGAAAG